CATAGAGTGCTTTATAAACAACGTGCATGACAAGGCAGGTAGTGCTGCAAATGTTTCCCAGATATCTCTATGACAAGATGCCCATTAAACATTCTACACAATTAACTTTAACTAATGGGTTAATATGGAAATTTGTATTACTGATATTTGCTTACTGCACGTACTATTATAATCTTTACCAAGAGTACAGTAAAATTATACCATACAACTGTAAGGTCCAATATAGCCAATCACATAAAAGCTGAGGTTGTATTATTACAAGATTTAATGAAATAACCAAGCAAGTGTGCAGTTAGCCAACTGGAGGTGGTGGAAGGTTGAGAAGCCAAATGCCAATTGTATTCTGAGTTCATACTATTGTAGGGTTCGTTATCATGGGTCCTTTTCTGTATTCCAGCCACCAAATATCAGCCCTGCATGTATGGCAATAAAGGCTGTTCTAAGTGCCACAGTGAAAATGAAAAGGAAGTGAGAATGGAAAGAAAGGGACAGATAAGAGACATCTCAAAGGACAAGTCTATAGGACTTAGGAGGACTGGATAGGAGGCAAGGGTAAGAAATAAATCAAAGACACTCCTGGATCACTTGAAGAATGACAATGGTGGTAGGAGGGGCGGGGCTAGAATTGGTTTCACTCCATGATTTGGCTTGTGGTAAAGGGGCAGGGAGGGAGGTATAAGTTGGTTTTAAATATGATTTCAAGCTGATAACAGGAAACTCAGATGAACCGTTAAAATATAGGACCTCAGTATGAGGAGGTCAGGGTTTTGATACAATGGTAATTATGGACAAAATTGAAAGTAAACAGTCTAAGAATGCTTTCAGAAGGGAAAACATTGAGTAAGAATCATTAGGGAAAGAATTAGAGGCAGAAGAACCACACTAACGGGAAAGAATTAGAGGTAGAAGAACCACACTAACATAAAAGCTAACATTTGAAGTTTACCTTTTCACATACATTATATTTAATGGAACCCTTGAGAGGTGGGAGATTAATTTCAAGTAGATTTATTCATTCACAAGTATTTATTAAGTGCTACTGAGAAGAGGAGGGTAAGTCACAGTCCTTGCCCTTAATGAGTTTCTAATCCAATGGGAGATGCAGACATGTAAACAAGAAATTAGGGGCCCTGATTCCAGCACTAACAATACTGTTTAATAATTGGCTACTTACTTCCCAGTCTCCATTACAAGAAAATCACATAAGGCTAAGAGATGGTGTCTATCACTCTTCTATCTCCAAAGCCTAGCAAAGGATTTAGCTTATATGCACTCAAGAAGTATTCTAAATGAAATGAATGAAAAACAGAATAGTGTCTCAGCAATGACGAACGTTATTTTCTGGCAGAGTATAACGTGTGTGGGGAGAGTAAAATATTAGGAAATATGGTTGAAGTCGTTTGGAGATCAGATTTTGGAAAGCCTTATATACTCTGCCAAGGAATTTACAGGTGGCAGTATTGAGGATTCAGAGAATTTAAAACATGGGAATGATATAATCAGATTTGTGCTTTGGAAAGACAACTTTGGTTGGAGGGTGAAGGATAGACTGGAGTGGGTAGAGATTATAGGAAGGAAGCTGTTTAGTACATTATTACAATAGACCAGTGCTTTCTAAACTTTTAAACATATTTAAGTGTGCATTTAGAATGGGAGGCCAACAGTACAGAAGAGCAAAGTGCTCTGACCTGTATTCAAGGTCCTGGCTCTGCTCAGTAAATGCTTGAAGAAAAAAACATAAAACACTGGTACCTAATAGGTCCTTCACAAATATACATTTCTTCCCTCTTTCCTTCCTCTCAGTGTACTGATTAAAACAGAGCCAATGGATAAATCTTGAGGATATAAGGCAGGGAATGAAATAAGGCCCTCAAGAGGCAGAAAGAGAGGGAATCAAAAACAGGAGAGCTTGTTTGGTCTAGAGCAGGAGGACAAACAACTTTTCTTGAGATGAAAGGCAGACCTAAAGAAGCATAGGGGAGGAAGGTCAGAAGAATGGAGGAGGAGGGAATGCTAGATTGACAAATCTCATTTATTTTTAATTTTTTTGTAAATTTATTTATTTTTGGCTGTGTTGGGTCTTCGTTGCTGCGCACGGGCTTTCTCTAGTTGCAGAGAGCGGGGGCTAATCTTCGCTGTGGTGCACAGGCTTCTTATTGCGGTGGCTTCTCTTGTTGCGGAGCACGGGCTCTAAGCGCCCGGGCTTCAGTAGCTGTGGCACACAGGCTTAGCTGCTCCGCAGCCTGTGGGATCTTCCAGGATCAGGGATTGAACCCGTGTCCCCTGCATTGGCAGGTGGATTCTCAACAACTGCGCCACCAGGGAAGTCCCTAGATTGACACATTTTAAACCTCCATCAGGATTAGATGAAAAATAAAAGGGCTACTGAGGTTTTAATACATTAATTTGCAATGGCTATAGCAGTTGTGAAAACGTTCCCCAGCAGCACTTAGCAACGTGGGAGGAGCAAAGCACGTGGACCGTTGGATTCATGCAAGATTGGGAACTGGCAGGATGAGAGGGGCCTAAGGAAAGGAGGAAAGTGATCCGAGAAAGCTCTTGATAGGCTCCCTGAAGTGAACGACTATAGGTTATAGGTTGAGAAGGAAGTCAAGTAAGGAAGTTGACAGAGTGGAATAAGAGAAGAGCTGATGTATTTAAAATCTTGCTGAGGTCTGAAAGTCATTTATAGCAACATAACTAGCCTTCATTCTTTTGATTTTGCCAACAAAGAAAATCAATTTGATTTTCTTCTGTATTAACCATCATGACTATGGTTCAAGTGAAAAGAATAGGTTTTTGATGATTTAATACATAACTCTTTTTATAAGCCCCCAATTCAATGCCAAGCATTTCTGTCACTGAAAGGCAAGATAAAAATGACAAAAGAGGACTTCCCTTGTGGCACAGTGGATAAGAATCTGCCTGCCAATGCAGGGGACATGGGTTCGATCCCTGGTCCGGGAAGATCCCACATGCCATGGAGCAACTAAGCCTGTGTGCCACAACTACTGAGCCTGCGCTCTAGAGCCCGCGAGCCACAACTACTGAGCCCACGTGCCACAACTACTGAAGCCTACGTGTGCCTGGAGACAGAGGCCACTGCAGTGAGAAGCCCGCATACTGCAACAAAGAGTAGCCCCCACTCGCCGCCAACTAGAGAAAGCCCGCATGCAGCAACAAAGACCCAACATAGCCAAAAATAAATTTAAAAAATAAAAAAAATGAGAAAATAATGAGTAGCACCAGGCCAAAATTAATTTGATTAGCTAAGAAATAATCTACTTAAGCAATCATTATACTTATAGGTAAATAACTTCATTTCTATCTATATAGTTAGCATTAGATCTTTTTTAATATCAAGTTTCTTACAGGTTCATAAAAAACAAAGTTCAAATATCCATAGTATAACACAAATATGTATGATTTTCAGAAGAGGTTTCCTTGGATCAATTAAAATGGAAGATTCAAATTATTCTAAAAGTAAAGGCAATACCGAACTTTTCAAAGAAGATTTAGGTTGAGTGCTTTGGTGAGAACTTCTCATACAAAAATACGGTGTTTGATCTAAGATAACACACTGTACAACCAATCAAGCAAAATGTAATGCTACTGAGAAGTACAAACTTTCATTCTGGGATGTCAGTGACACTTCTCATACAGAAATCAGGGTCTCTTTTTTCATACCTCTTGTGCCATAAGATGGCTCCAGGGGCTGAGGGCTTAAAATGAAACAAAAGGGATAGTCAGGGTTAAGGCACTATAAAGCTAACTGTGCCTGATAGTATAGCCTTTGGCTAATTTTCAGTCAGGCACTAGCTCTCAGGTTAACACTTTTCTTTCCTTTAATCATAGAGGTTAAAGATGTCTACTTCCTTTTCCATTCCAGCACCAACTGCCTACAGCGGGGTTAACGATGCGGGTGGGAAGGAAAAGGACAGTTCCCCCAGCTTTTGTACTTGTGAGCAAACAGCTTTTATGATTTTTACTACTAATGATAAAGACAGCATAAAAAGGTTTAAAGGCTCCTTCCTAAAATACTTTTTCCATGTACCTTTTTTCCCCCCACAAATGGAAAGATACTACTGTACCCAGATACTAATTAGTTTTGAGGCACAAGTTACATTAGAAGGAAAAATAACTTGGGCTAGTGTGTAAATTTCATTCAGTGGAGACTCCTTGGTTAAATAAACAGCAGAATTTGCTGGGTTGGGAGAAAGGAAAAGAGGCCCAGAATGCTTACTGCTTGTCACTGTCAGCTTTCTCATGGAAGACTTTACTAAGGGAGTTTCCAGGGAGGAGAATGAGCTATTCTAAGCAACGACATTTAGGAAGAAAGAGGGGTTCCTGTGGTCTTCGGGCCAGCTAGCTATAGAAACTGGTCCCAAGTAGTCAATGGCTTGGAAATGGGGTAGATGAATTGTGAACTGCCCGTATAGTACAGTTACGAAGTATGTGGATAAAAATTCCTGGAGCTGAAGTCTTCTTTATTGACAGAATCAACAGAACATGCATGGCAGAGTTGGCCACAACGTCCTAACACAGCACATCCTGACATTCAAATTAGACTCATTTAAATGTGGCTCCTTTTGATTCCTTCAATTTGGTACTATGATTATCTGTACACAGGGATTCTATATTGAAACAACCTCACTCACATCACCACTATCACTCAGTTTTTGGATACTAACAGATTGGTCCAAATTTTAAAAAAGGTAATAGGCTAAAAGACAAAAAAAAAAGTCAACTAAGATACCAGGCCTAATCAAGAATGGCTTAGGGCTTCCCTGGTTGTGCACTGGTTGGGAGTCCGCCTGTCGATGCAGGGGACACGGGTTCGTGCCCCGGTCCGGGAAGATCACACATGCCACGGAGCGGCTGGGCCCGTGAGCCATGGCCGCTGAGCCTGCGCGTCCGGAGCCTGTGCTCCGCAACGGGAGAGGCCACAACAGTGAGAGGCCCGCGTACTGCAAAAAAAAAACAAAAACAAAAAACAAAAAAAGAATGGCTTAATATTATTCATTCTCTTTGAACATTTTACTTAAGTGTTTTACTAGAGCTACTAGCTCAGGGTTCCCACCACATGCATCGATTTGTTTATAGGCTTTAGATTCAAGCTCTTTAAGAGTATTCCGAGTGTATTCAAAAGAACCTACGTTCTCAAGATAATGTACACAGTATTTTTTAACATCTACATTTTCGGTTCTCTGGCGCAAGATATTCTGCACCTGGGTGCTTTCAGGCCTAGACCAAATAGCATGAATAGTAGGGAATGAGAACTTTCCCTCTGTTAGATCTTCACAAAAGCTTTTGTTTGCACTATATTCTTTGGAGTGTAGATTAGCATAATCATCCCTAATTTGGAAAAAGAGCCCAAGTGTATTCAGTAGTGGCTTTAAATCTTCTTTGTAATCAGAGAACAACTGCATGAGACCTACTGCTAATCCAAATAGTCCACCTGTCTTTTGCAGCACCATTGCTTTATATTCTTCTTCAGTGGGACAAGTGTAATTATCCCTCCAGTAGATATCCAGGCCTTGTCCCTGATGGAGTTCTAAAAGCTGGCGGGTAAAAAGCTTTACTGCATCTGGGTGATCAAGGGTTAAGACTTTCTCTAGGCCAAGAAAATATACATAATTGGCAGAATTGATGACAGATGGAATTCCATAGATGCTGTGTGCCACTGGAAAGCCACGACGGAGTTTTGAGTTGTCTTCAATATCATCGATGAGTAAACTGGCATTATGCAACATTTCCGTCACTTCAATGATAATCTAACAAGAAATACAATGGAAAAATTTCATTTTATTTGAATTATTCAAAAGAGCTTATAAATACTTAATGTATATTAACAGATTATCAAAGTGTCAGGTGCCTTAGTTTTTACAACTAGTTATTATCTAGCAACCTCAATGTAAGATATTGTATGATCATTAAACTGAATTAAGAGCTAGGAGTATTTTTACATGATATCTATTAATTTCTTGGAGATTAAGAATTAAGGTTAGAATTGCCTAAATACCTGTAGCTTGTCTTCTGGAACTTTTAGCCAATGATTAAACGCCTGTGAAAGTTTGGTTCTCACTTGTTTACCTGCATTTAAAGAATAAAATTTGGCAATAAATTAATATTTTTAATTACAAGAAACACATTCAGAAACTTCCTGTGAAACTAATAAAACTTGACAAATCCAGCCCCACCAATCTATTATCTACTGTAGAGCTTGTCTTCCACTGCTGGGCCCTACTACCTCCCTCCACCAAAACTCATATCCTAAAATGCACAAACTTTTAAAATTAGGGCAGGCAAAAGAGAGTTCTAGGACTCCAGGGAGCCATCAGTTAGGTCACTCCTTTCATCTTAACTTATATCAACAGTTTTGGAATGGAATGTTTTTTTTGTTTTTTAACATCTTTATTGGAGTGTAATTGCTTTACAATGTTGTATTAGTTTCTGCTGTATAACAAAGTGAATCGGCTATATGCATATGTATATCCCCATATTCCCTCCCTCTAGCGTCTCCCTCCCACCCTCCCTTATCCCGCCCCTCTAGGCGGTCACGAAGCACCGAGCTGATCTCCCCGTGCTATATGGCTGCTTCCCACTAGCTAGCTATTTTACATTATGTAGTGTATATATGTCAATGCCACTCTCACTTCTTCCCATCTTACCCTTCCCCCTGCCCTTGTCCTTTATTCCTGCCCTGCTCCTAGGTTCTTCAGAACCATTTTTTTTTTTAGGAGTCCATATATATGTGTTAGCATACGGCATTTGTTTTCCTCTGACTTGCTTCACTCTGTATGACAGACTCTAGGTCCACCCACCTCACTACAAATAACTCAATTTTGTTTCTTTTTATGGCTGAGTAATATGGAATGTGCTTTTAGGGAATTATGATCTAATTCATTCCTTTTTTTGAAAAGGGAGCCAGTCTAGTTAGTGGCAGTTAATTAGCACCATCCACTTCAGAGGCTATAGGTATTTTTTTTTTTATTGACATGTAGTTGATTTTCAATGTTGTGTTAATTTCTGCTGTACAGCGAAGTGATTCAGTTACACATATATATACATTCTCTTCTAAAATATTCTTTTCCATTATGGTTTATCATAGGATACTGAATATGGTTTTCTGTGCTATACAGTAGGACCTCGTTGTTTATCCATTCAATATATAACTATAGGTATTTTTTTGTTTTTGTTTTCCTTTTAGTTTTCCTTTTTACTATACTTTCCTCTAACATCAAGTGGATGGTTTTGGATAGTTCCTTTTTCTTTTTTCTAACTTACTAGTCCAATATACAATGTAACTGAATTTTTTTTTTTGTGGTACGCGGGCCTCTCACTGTTGTGGCCTCTCCCGTTGTGGAGCACAGGCTCCGGACGCGCAGGCTCAGCGGCCATGGCTCACGGGCCCAGCCGCTCCGCGGCATGTGCGATCTTCCCGGACCGGGGCACGAACCCGTGTCCCCTGCATCAGCAGGCGGACTCTCAACCACTGCGCCACCAGGGAAGCCCAACTATAGGTATTTTTAAGTAAATGTACTTTGCTATTGAATTACCTTATAGAATTACCTCTTAAAATTATCTACCATTCCTTTATATTAAGATTTTAGAGACTGGACAGCTCTGCTGCTTTCCTATCAAAAAATGAATTACCAGTCCATGAAGTATTCCCTTTTAACATCCTGAATTTAGTCAAAAGTTAATCGCTTTATTTTGACTAGGGCCATTAGTTTTTCAATATTATCTTTTTCTTACACAGAAAGCTCAAGAGAGGTCTTTGGGTAGTAGTCACCATTAGAAGTCATTTTAGCCCAAATATAAAGGAATGGTAGGTAAAAACCACAACCAGTTCATTTAATAAAAATGTTCTTTCTATGAGCTTCCTGCTAAAGCGAATGCACAGTAACACCCTAATTTCAGATTAGGTTTCAGGAAAATAGTTACATAAAGTTTCAGTAAACAAAAACAGTATTTTCTGAGTCCTATCTGTGTTTTCTCTGCACCAATCAGCCAAACAAATGAATACACACACCCTCATCACATACCCAAATGGAACAAAGTTTCACTTTCTGTGAGAAGTCTAAAAGGGAAGGATCTCTTAGGGTTCTGGAAGCAGTATCCTCTGTCTACCAACCTTTAGAATGTGGTCTGAGCAGCAATTATATCCTTTATCTTTCTGATTTACTTTCCAGTTTGACCAAGGTCAATCTGGGCTATACTGAGAACGCACAACTGTGCAAAGTAACCCTATCACCTTAAAAAAGAAGATGAAGAACAGAGAATCAATGTGCAGGCACATTTTCCCCTTCACTTCAGAATGTATTTAGAAAACAGTACAATAAATGGCTTAACTTACAGGTCCTCAGGTATGTATGTATGTATGTATGTATGTATGTATGTATGTATGTATGTATGTATTTATTTATGGCTGCGTTGGGTCTTCATTTGCTTCACGGTCTTTCTCTAGTTGCGGTGAGCGGGGGCTACTGTTCGTTGCGGCGCGTGGGCTTCTCACTGCAGTGGCTTCTCTGGTTGCGGAGCACAGGCTCTAGAGCACGGGTGCAAGGTGCAAGGACTTCAGTAGTTGTGGCTCACGGGCTCTAGAGCGCAGGCTCAGTAGTTGTGGCTCACGGGCTCTAGAGCGCAGGCTCAGTAGTTGTGGCGCATGGGCTTAGTTGCTCCGCGGCATGTGGGATCTTCCCAGACCTGGGCTCGAACCCGTGTCCCCTGCATTGGCAGGCGGATTCTTAACCACTGTGCCGCCATGGAAGTCCCCTCAGGTTTTATTTTAATATTACAGTAATTACTGTTTCTTCTTTAAGACTTTAACGTTACTGACTCCCTTTCTGCAGGCCCTCTTCTTCCTCCATTTCAAAACCCACTCTCCACCTCCCACTGCAAAGGCCTGGGGACCTACACTTCTACACTAGGGTAAATAAAGAAACATAAATAAAAGTCATTCTACTTCACTCATTTCAGAATATCCTAATATCAACAATTATTAATTATTATAACCTCTTTTCAGCAAGATTAACTTTACAATAGAATAAATGGCCTGGCCCATCTTTAAGTCACTTTAGTAACTCTGAAGCTGTGAAAAATTATGCATAACACAGTTTCCTCTTTCTTTAGGAAACTCTTTTGAGGTTCTATTCTATCATGGGTGCAAGAGTATATTTGATTTGAAAAATAAAAAGATGGGATACCTAATGAGAGTCTTAAATATGTTATCTAATGGCCTAAAACATTACTTCCAAATAATGAGGATTAAAAAAAATGTTACAGAAGTAGTTCATTACACAGGTAAGCATTACTGTTAAAATGTAACTATAGGCAGTCCTTGTTCTGCACAGTAGTGGAGCAGAGACGCTGGGTGGTGCTAGTTGGACACCTGTCATCACTGGTAACTGGCATGATTTATGGTAGCCCAGTTCCAACCAGTGTTTGCCAGCGTGTAACAAAATAAGTCCAGCAATAGGTGGGCAGAGTACAGGAGAAATAGTGCTACCTTTCTCAATATGAGACTCTAAAATAAGTAAAGTTACTGGCTGCTGAATAAATGTCACTCAAAAGCAGTCTCTTGGCTTTTCCGTAAACAGTAGGCAACTTTTCCCATGCATTCTCTGCTTGTCTCTCCTCCATTCTTTTGAAGCATTGACATTAACAAGTATGTCTCCATGAGGGTCTGCCAGAATAGAAATGACACTAATCATGATGGTTTCCAAGGTGGAGGTAGGGAGCTACCACTCTTCCGGCTTCAGACAACAGTACTTATCCTCCCCAGACTCAAGAAGAATAGAAATGCCACTGAGGAGTGCTCATCAAGAAAAGTGTGCACTTTAGAACAGAAATGACAACCTTTTTGTGATTGAGATCATCACTACAGTTGAGCCACACTATGGGCTAAATGGGTTTCTATAGTTGTCAACTTATCACCTTTTTCTTTTTTGGGCCATGCTGCGCAGGTTGTGGAATCTTAGTTCCCTGACCAGGGATTGAACCCAGGCCCTCGGCAGTGAAAGTGCAGAGTCCTTACCACCAGACTGCCAGGGAAGTCCCAACTTATCACCTTTTAGTAACTGTTTTTTTTTTTTTTTTTTTTTGCGGTATGTGGGCCTCTTACTGTTGTGGCCTCTCCCATTGCGGAGCACAGGCTCCGGATGCGCAGGCTCAGTGGCCATGGCTCACAGGCCCATTCGCTCCGCAGTATGTGGGATCTTCCCGGACCGGGGCACGAACCCGTGTCCCCTGCATCAGCAGGCGGACTCTCATCCACTGCGCCACCAGGGAAGCCCTAGTAACTGGTTTATACATGAAGTTTTATTACAAGAAGCCACGCTTATCACATGCATGAGTTTTCCTTGCTACTATCATTTCCCAGAAAAGCTTAAAAAAAAAAAAAGAGCAAAATAAAACAAGCACATACATATGATTAGCCAGGTGTTTCTTTAGGAAGCCATGTTCAAGTGACTCATCTTTCTATAGGAATAATGTGGGCTATGCTTCCAAGTAATGTGCTTTGGATGCTTTACTATTTGTCTCTTAAAGGAACTAGTAGTATAAGAAATGCAGTGTATGTGATAATGGAAAACCTGAACAGGGAAGTTAAGTGAAGCTTCTTCTTGTTTCACAAATTGGCAGAACATCCCCTAATATCTAAAGAGTAGGGAATAGGAATGTGTGGCATTCATAAAGAATAAAACTTCTAATGAGATACTCAAATGTTTTAAGTGTTATGTTATAAAATTGTATATTTTTTAAGGGGTGCCTCAAAAACATCCCTTTTAAGAACAAACAGTTGTAAAACTTTATTATTATTTTCCTCATGTGTATCTTCTTACAAAATAGAAAACAGAAACTCTCAAGAGCTGGCAATTCTAACCTTTTCTGTATGCTGATATTTAAATGATGATTACTTTATATAGATGACCCTATATGTACTGTAACTAAACTGTTACCTGGTAACTGAAGTAAGTACTTGTAAGGTTCTAAAAGAATTCTCTGGGCTGTTTCTTGAGTCTTCTCCATTGTTTTTTAATTTCAAAGCTGATCTGTAAAAAAGCAGAAACATAAAGATGATGTAGTTAACTAAATTATCTGAGGATCAAAGTGCAAAGGAATTTGTATTTGTATTTCAAGGTGTTTTAGTAAAGGTAAACTTTCAGTTTGGTTTTAAATGAAAACTCTACACCTATGAAATCTTGAAAACATTATGCTAAGTGAAGGAAGATGGTCACAAAAGGTCACATATTATATGATTCCATTTATATGAAATGTTCAGAACAGGCAAATCTATAGAGACAGAAAGTAGACTAATGATTGCATAGGGCTGGGGTGGGGGGAAGAGAGACTGACTGCTAATGGGGGTTTCTTTTTGGGGAGATCAAAATGTTCCAGAATTAGATTGTGGTGCTGGTTGCCCAACCTTGTGAATATAACAAAACACACTGAGTTGAATACTTTGAATGGGTCAACTATATGATATGTAAATTATATCTCTTTAAAAAAAAAAAAGCAAAGTCTTCATTTAAGTGATTATATTGGTCAAGGTGTTCACCTAGATTTTAAGTGGTTTCCTTAGTTACAAAACTTACACTAAAAGCCGCTCCTATTTTATCAACCATAAAAGGCTTAAATTGTTGACATCAACATCAAAAGAAAACAACAGAATTAGATACTTCTATACTTGACTGATCACATAAATTAATAAACATACTTTTTTTCCTAAGAGCATTAAAATGAGTATGTTTTGGGGCTTCCCCGGTGGCGCAGTGGTTGAGAGTCCGCCTGCCGATGCAGGGGACACGGGTTCATGCCCTGGTCCGGGAGGATCCCACATGCCGCGGAGCGGCTGGGCCCATGAGCCATGGCCGCTGGGACTGCGCGTCCAGAGCATGCGTTCAATGGGAGAGGCCACTGTTGTGAGAGGCCCACGTACCGCAAAAAAAAAAAAAAAAGAAAAGAAAAGAAAGCAAGGCAAATTTTTTAATTCCGTGAACGTGTATTAAATACCCTCTGTGTGTCAGGCACAGGTGCTAGGGGATACAGCAATGAATAAAATTAAGTCCTGCTCTCATGGGATTCACATTCTATCTCCAAATAAAAAAAAAAAAAAAAAGAGTATGTTTTATACATTTGACCCTTAAACAACAGCGGGGTTAGGGGCACCAACACCCCCACTCCGCACACACACAAACACACAACTGAAAGTCTTCTGCAGCCACAGATTCAACCAAGTGCAAATCATGTAATACTGTAGTATGTATTTATTAAAAAAAAAATCCATGTATAAGTGGAGTCCAGCAGTTCCCACTCATGTTGTTCAGGGTCAACTGTGTATTTAAAATATAAGGAGAAAATCCTATTCTGCATTTTCTTCACAATCAATCCATTTTAGACATTCTGATTAAGACATGCATTTACTTGAGTGCAATTATATTATTAAAAATATTCCCCTGTAGTGACTTATTATTCTGAATTTTATATTTACTTCAATATTTCCTAGAACATCACTCAGTTTTCCTAGAATCCCCCTTTACTATTGAATCTCTACTATTTCTTTGTAAATATCTATTGCTATTTTTGTTTGTCCTCCTATTAGGAGTCTTCATTCTGTTTTTGTTGTTTTTTTCTCTTTTTTGGGGGATGGGAGGGAGTTTTCATTTCTAATTGGCACACTTTAGAAGGTTTCTCACCTTTGTCTACTTTCTTTTGCTTCTTGGGACAATGATTTGGTCTCTAGGATCATGAGCCTAAAAGACTGAAAAGTGTATTTTCTTTTACATTTGCCTTGACCAACAATTAATGTTAAGTATGTTGCAAGGGAAAAAAGTTCAGAAAATATTTCGAAATAATCCAAATACCAGTTTAGTAACCTATTACCTATACTCTTTAAAGTTTGACACAGATTATCTTATTTTTAAGAGATTAAAGAAAGAAAAGAAGATGATGCACAGGAAGAATAATCACTTAGGTTAAAAGATTATTGAACAGAATTAAAAGTAGAATTTTAAAAAAGCATCTCATATACTGTTCTATTTAAACCAGTTAGTAGCCATCTCTTCCCAACTAGGTTGAGAAAATTATGTTTATCTTTTTCACAGCCTCCAGAACACATGTGACTTAACTTAAAAATCAGTAAGACCAACTTTCAATAATTCTCTTTTGTCTCTGTATTAGTAACAACAATACACCACTAGACAGATTTTCAGCACTAATCTGTTTCAATTCTTAGGGCTTAGCTGGTTGATGTTTTGTTCGACTGAAAATATTAGTTATGAACTTTAAAAAATCATTCTTTCCTTGGCTCACTCCAGTAAGTTTAAGAATACTCACTCAACAAATAAATCAATTAATGTTCCTTCCCCAGAGTATGTTTGTATGCAAGTATTCTCAACAGTGGGAAAACACAGAAGCCTCAATTTTGCTAGGTACTGAAAACTAAAGTTTCCTGTCTTCTAAAGAGCCTGAGGGTTTCTACATTACTGTGGCATATACTCTGATTTGGCTCTTTTTCTTTTCTTCTTTTTTAACCCAAAAGACTCCAATTTATCACACCTAGAAATTTCAGCTATCACATACTGGACCCGAATATAAAGAGGCATTAATGTGTTACATGCACTCTACTAATTTACTTTTTTAAAAGTAATTAATTTTTAAACTATTTTACCGAAGTATAGTTGATTTACAATGTTGTGTCTAATCTACTTTTAGAACGAACCATCACAGGGTGCCTCTGTGAGAGTCTGAAACTACTCATTTTCAAAACTGGGAAACTGCTTTACATTTGTTCAAACAACGCATGATGAATATTAATTAACACAAAATCAGATTCTCTCCTCCGTGTGGACTACTGAAGCAATATCCCCCTGGTCCTCTACTCTTCAGCCAGTGGCCTTTTCGAAATTCAAATCTGGTCCTATCTCCCTTCTGACTGGCAACCCTCCGAAGTTATCCCATGGCTCTTAGATAAGAACAAAACTCCCTAACATAGCGTATCAGGTTCGGACAGCCAAGCCCTGCGCCCCCTCGCCCCC